ATTCTTTTAGCTACACTAAAACTCTCCTATGAAAATCAGAAAAATAGGACTCTTTTTAAAGAAAGTCATATTCTGATCCAAAATGGCACTATATTGACAAGAGGAGTTCTATTCTTACAAATAGAGACTCCTAAATGCGGAAGGAGAGGCATCATTTACTCGTTTTATTATTCCTTTAGCTACACCAAAACTCTCCTATGAAAATCAGAAAACCGGGACTCTTTTTAAGAAAAGTCATATTCTGATCCAAAATGGCACTATATTGACAAGAGGGAGTTATGATCTTACAAATAAGAAGTAGAGACTACGAAATGTAGACGGAGATGCATCATTTACTTGTTTTCTTATTCCTTTAGCTACACCAAAACTCTCCTATGAAAATCAGAAAACTGGGACTCTTTTTAAGAAAAGTCATATTCTGATCCAAAATGACACTATATTGACAAGAAGGAGTTCTGAGCATACAAATAAGAAGTACAGACTCCTAAATGTCGAAGGAGACGCATCATTTACATGTTTTCTTATTCCTTTAGCTACACCAAAACTCTCCTATGAAAATCAGAAAACTGGGACTCTTTTTAAGAAAAGTCATATTTTGATCCAAAATGGCACTATATTGACAAAAGGGAGTTCTGAGCATACACATAAGAAGTAGAGACTTCTAAATTTCAAAGGAGACGCATCATTTACTTGTTTTCTTATTCCTTTAGCTACACCAAAACTCTCCTATGAAAATCAGAAAACTGGTACTCTTTTTAAGGAAAGTCATATTCTGATCAAAAATGGCACTATATTGACAAGAGGGAGTTCTAATCTTACAAATAGAAACTCCTAAATGTGGAAGGATAGACACGATGTACCTGTTTTATTATTCCTTTAGCTACACTAAAATTCTTCTATGAAAGTCAGAAAACTGGGACTCTTTTTAAGAAAAGTCATATTTTGATCCAAAATGACACTATATTGACAAAAGGGGATTTCTGAGCATACACATAAGAAGTAGAGACTCCTAAATGTCTAAGAAGACGCATCATTTACTTGTTTTCTTATTCCTTTAGCTACACCAAAACTCTCCTATGAAAATCAGAAAACCAGGACTCTTTTTAAGAAAAGTCATATTCTGATCCAAAATGGCACTATATCGACAAGAGGGAGTTATGATCTTACAAATAAGAAGTAGAGACTACTAAATGTAGACGGAGATGCATTATTTACTTGTTTTCTTATTCCTTTAGCTACACTAAAACTCTCCTATGAAAATCAGAAAAATAGGACTCTTTTTAAAGAAAGTCATATTCTGATCCAAAATGGCACTATATTGACAAGAGGAGTTCTATTCTTACAAATAGAGACTCCTAAATGCGGAAGGAGAGGCATCATTTACTCGTTTTATTATTCCTTTAGCTACACCAAAACTCTCCTATGAAAATCATAAAATCGGGACTCTTTTTAAGAAAAGTCATATTCTGATCCAAAATGGCACTATATTGACAAGAGGGAGTTATGATCTTACAAATAAGAAGTAGAGACTACGAAATGTAGACGGAGATGCATCATTTACTTGTTTTCTTATTCCTTTAGCTACACCTGGGACTCTTCTTACTAAAAGTCATATTCTGATCAAAATTGGCATGATAATGACAAGGGGGCGTTCTGATTTGGATCAGAATATGACTTTGAGAGAATGTAAAGATTAACAGCGGATTAAGATAAGATTAAGAGAGATTAAGAGAGTTTGAATGAAGAACACGATGAAGAGTAGAGAGAATGGTGAGAAAGAGATGATTCTCATTTCTTAGTAAGCAATTACAGCTGTATACAGATATTTAAAGTAAAAGCAGAAAGAATATACTAAAGAGATTCCTAGGCTATTCTCCAAATAAGGGAAAAAGTAAAAGAGAAAAGCAAAAGCAGCTTTTGTCCTTATGTACAACGGTCATAAAGAGGATAAGGGGAGAGACTCTTCTTCCTTTATCTTCAAACGGTCACAAGAAGAGAGACTTGGAGGGAAAGACATCTTCTTGCTTGCTGTAGAAGTAAACCCAAGTTTAGAAGATGATCTTGTATGAATTGTACGGATTGACTTGATAGATCTCCCTTGATTAACACTCCCGCTCAAGCTAAGCCTTAAAGAATCTGAAGGCTTAGATTGGAAGTTAGGAGACTCACCTCATTAAAAACCTAAGTATGGAAAATCCAATGGGACAAAACCATACTTAGGGAAAAATAGTGTAAGCTCTTTCACTTAGGGGATTCAGAGCCTTGGAGACTCATAAGCCCCAATCTCTCACTGATAAACTCCAAGGTCTTCAAGCTTGTTGCCTTGGTAAAAATATCAGCCAACTGATCAGAGCTCCTGGTATAACACGGTAAAATGACTCCAAGCTCCATCTGTTCTCTTACTTTGTGACAATCCACCTCAATGTGCTTAGTCCTTTCATGGAACACCTGGTTTGATGCAATGTGAATCGCAGACTGGTTATCACAATGCATAGTGATCGGCTTTGAGAACTCTATGCCAAGGTCTGAGAGAAGCATCTTCAGCCACATCAACTCGGTTGTAAGTCTTCTCATAGCTCTATACTCGGCTTCTGCACTTGAACAAGACACAACCTTCTGTTTCTTGCTCTTCCAAGTCACTAAGTTTCCTCCTATGAAGGTACAGTAGCCGGTTGTGGATCTTCTATCAGTTCTGTCACCAGCCCAATCAGCATCACAATATCCAACTATTTCTGAGCTTCCATTGCACCCCATCCATATCCCTTGCTCCAAGGTTCCTTTGAGATATCTCAGAATGCGGTTCACCATGTTCCAATGATATATACTTGGAGCTTGCATATGTTGGCTCACCTGATTCACAGCATAACACAAGTCAGGTCTAGTTATTGTGAGGTATATAAGCTTACCAACTGTTCTTCTGTATAGCTTGGGATCATCAAAGAGACTCTCAGCTTCATTCTCCCCCTGTTGGTGAGCTTTATATGCATCCTCCAATGGAGTTCTAGCCGGTTTTGCATCATTAAGACCTGCATCATGAACAATATCTCGAGCATACTTCCTTTGGGACAAGAAAAGACCTTCTTTAGATCGGCACACTTCAATCCCAAGGAAGTATTTTAGTTCACCAAGGTCTTTAATATCAAAAACAGAATGTAAATAGTCCTTAGTTTCCTGAATTCCAACCTTGTCATTCCCAGAGATGATTAAATCATCCACATAAATGAGAATAACTATGATACCTGCTTGGCTCTGAAGTGTAAAGAGAGTGTGATCAGTCTCAGATCTTCGGAACCCGCGATCTAAGAGGGTAACACTTAGCTTCCGATACCAAGCCCTTGGGGACTGTTTCAAGCCATAGATTGCCTTTCTCAGCTTCAAAACCTTGCCCTGAGTCACCTGAACACCTGGTGGAGGAGTCATATAGACCTCTTCTTCTAATTCTCCTTGAAGAAATGCATTCTTCACATCCATTTGCCATAAATCCCACTCTAAGTTTGTAGCAAGGGAGAGAATAACTCTCACTGTGTGTAGCTTAGCAACCGGAGCAAATGTCTCTCTATAGTCTTCCCCATAGGTCTGTGTGAAACCTCTAGCCACCAGTCTTGCCTTGTACCTCTCGATCTCCCCATTGCTCTTGTATTTGATAGTAAATACCCACTTAGAGCTCACAGTTTTCTTCTTTCTTGGTAACTCAGCTTCATCCCAAGTGTGATTCCGAATCATAGCCTGTTTTTCTTCAGTAACAGCATCAAGCCACACCTTGTGCTCCTTTGCTTCATCATAAGTCCTTGGAACCTCTTCTTGATCTAAGACTCCTATGAACACTTGATGTTCTTGAGGAACATGGGCTAGAGAGCACACTGCTTGAGTTGGATGAGCTATAGCTTGATTATTGTAGTAGACTCTAGTAGTGATCCAATTAGAAGCCGGTTTTCTGATCCTTTGGCTTCTTCTAAGCTCTTGAACCGCCGGTTCTTCTTCTGTGGGAACTGATTCCTCTTGAGTGTGATCCACGCCTAGCTCAGGTTCTTCTTGGGTTGGTGAGATCACTTGGTCGTTTTCCATTTCCTCACCAGGGGCCTCGGTCTCAGTCTCAGGTTCCTCTTCTAATGGATGTGGATCCACCTGATCTTGAGTGGATTCAGCTGGGGCTGAGCCTGTTGGTGTGCTCCCATCGTTTCTTAAGGTCTCAAGTAGGGTTCTGAGAGTAGCCGCCCTATCTGAGTTGGAATGGGGAAGATCCTTTAGATTTTCCCAATTTCTTTCCTCATAGAAGCCCTTATCTTCAATAAACTTCACATCTCTGGACACTAGAACCCTCCTAGTCTCAGGAATGTAACATTTGTAGCCCTTCTGGTTAATAGAATAGCCAATGAACATCCCTTTTGTACTTCTAGCCTCAAGCTTGTTCCTTTGTTCTCCTGGAACTAATACAAAGCAAACACAACCAAATACTTTTAGGTAATCAATCGATGGCTTAGACTTGTTTAATACCTCAAATGGGGAAGCATCTTGGAGGATCCTTGTAGGGAGCCTATTGATAAGATAACAGGCTGTGACTACAGCATCTCCCCAAAACCTCTTAGGAACATTCCTATGAAACATCAAGGACCTGGCCACCTCCATAAGATGCCTGTTCTTCCTCTCAGCAACTCCATTTTGCTGAGGGGTATAAGGACAGCTTGTTTGATGGACAATTCCGTGTTGGTTAAGGTGATGCCTAAAGGCTTGGCTTGTGTATTCTCCTCCATTATCTGACCTAAACACTTTGATCTTAGCATTATAATGGTTAGTCACATATTTTTGAAAATTCATAAAGGCCTCTAGCACCCTATCTTTAGATGGTAACAAAGTGATCCAAGTATATTTAGATTTCTCATCAATAAAGGTAACAAAGTATTTGTGACTTTCTCTAGACATACATGGAGAGGTCCATACATCAGAGTGAACTAAATCAAAGCAATTTTCATAAATAGTAGATGATTTAGGAAAGACAGTTCTACAATGTTTACCCAAGATACAAGCTTCACAAGCATTATTATCAAACTTAACATCAGGTAACATCAGATTCAAAGACCTATGATGGGGATGACCCAATCTAGCATGCCACAATGCATTATTTCAACAACAGAACTAAAAACAAAAGCATTAGATAGAGAAGATGGCTTAGTGTCTTCAAGAACATAAAGCCCATCTTTAGTAGTTCCTTGTCCAAGAAGCTTACTTGACTTAATATCCTGAAAGAAAACCTCATTAGGACTGAATATAGCATAACAGTTTAAATCAGTAGTTGCTTTCTTAATAGACAAGAGGTTAGATGTGAATGAGGGCATGTAAAATGCTTTAGATTGTTTATCAAACAGCTTAAGATCACCAATGCCTTCTATCTTAACTTTTTCACCATTTGCAATGATCACATTTCCTAATGCAGGTTTCATGTTACTAATCAATTTAGCATCACTAATCATATGATGGCTAGCTCCAGAGTCAACAATAAGCGGTTTATCACTTTTCAAGACATGATTTGCAGTATGAATTTCTAAAGAATGATCATCCACAACAGTATTAGCAGTATGATTAGTCAAGATATGATCATGTAATGCATGAAAGCTAAAGGCTTTAATCGGTTTACCAGACTCTTTAAGAGCCTTGATGAGAGCATCCAGGTCTGATTTCTTCACATATTCAGCTGAGGCCCTCATAGCAACCCCTTCCTTCTCACGGTCTGAGGGGCCAGCCTCCTCCTGAGCATGAGCTTCATTCGCCCTTGGCTTTCTCTGGTCTTTGCTGCGGCTTTGCTTGAGATGTGGATACAGGATCCAGCACTTGCTCTTCAGGTGACCCTTCTTTTTACAATGCTCACACACCCAAACCTCACGGTCCTCACCACCATAGGCTCCTTTGTTGGCTACTGCAGCTTCACCTTTGTTGGCCATCACCAAGTCGCTTCCTTTATTGCCGAAGAGACCCAAAGACCCTTGTTCCCTCTGGATCTGAGAACAGACTTCCTCCAGGCTTGGTAGTTTTGTAGCTCTAAGAAGATGCTTGATGAGATCGTTAAAAGCTGGATTCAACACCATTAGAAGAGCAAAGACCTTGTCCTGCTCTCTCCTTTCATTTAGAACCTCAGCATCAACAGTAGCAGGCCTGAGCATCTCCAGCTCTGCCCATAGAGACCTAAACTTCCCAAAGAAGGTATTGAAGTCCAGATCTCCTTGGTGAAGACAGTTAATCGCCTTTTTGACCTCAAATACCCTTGTGAGATTACATGTGTTCCCAAACACATTCTTCAGGGTTTCCCAAAGCTCCTTTGCACTCTCACAATAGGAGTAGGACTCAAGCACCGACAGATCTAGAGCTCCATGAAGGATAGCAAGCACCGTTTGATCCTCTTGGAACCATTCCACAGAATCTTTCAAAGGCATCTCCTTTCCTCCATCTTTGGTCTTGCCTTTAACATCCTTTGGATCTTCAACATGATACCAAAGGTTTCTTCCACACAACACAGCTTTGGCAGTTCTTGCCCAAAGCAGATAGTTATCAGCTCCTTTGAGCACCACAGGTAAAACAGGAACCTTGTTTCCTTCCATTAACACTCGCAGAGATGAGAAAAGGAAGAACAAAGATCGAGTATTTCAAAAGAAAAGTGGTTTGTACGGATGAATCTGGGTTTGAGTATGAACACGAAGATTTGAGGGGATGGAATAGATGAGAATAAGAGAATAAGAGATGAGAATAAGCAAGATTAATCACCAGATTTCGGAACCTGGCTCTGATACCATGAGAGAATGTAAAGATTAACAGCGGATTAAGATAAGATTAAGAGAGATTAAGAGAGTTTGAATGAAGAACACGATGAAGAGTAGAGAGAATGGTGAGAAAGAGATGATTCTCATTTCTTAGTAAGCAATTACAGCAAGTAAAAGCAGAAAGAATATACTAAAGAGATTCCTAGGCTATTCTCCAAATAAGGGAAAAAGAGAAAAGCAAAAAGAGGAAAGCAAAAGCAGCTTTTGTCCTTATGTACAACGGTCATAAAGAGGATAAGGGGAGAGACTCTTCTTCCTTTATCTTCAAACGGTCACAAGAAGAGAGACTTGGAGGGAAAGACATCTTCTTGCTTGCTGTAGAAGTAAACCCAAGTTTAGAAGATGATCTTGTATGAATTGTACGGATTGACTTGATAGATCTCCCTTGATTAACAGAGAGTCCTAAATGTCGAAGGAGACGCATCATTTACTTGTTTTCTTATTCCTTTAGCTACACCAAAACTCTCCTATGAAAATCAGAAAACTGAGACTCTTTTTATGAAAAGTCATATTTTGATCCAAAATGGCACTATATTGACAAAAGGGAGTTCTGAGCATACACATAAGAAGTAGAGACTTCTAAATTTCAAAGGAGACGCATCATTTACTTGTTTTCTTATTCCTTTAGCTACACCAAAACTCTCCTATGAAAATCAGAAAACTGGTACTCTTTTTAAGGAAAGTCATATTCTGATCCAAAATGGCACTATATTGACAAGAGGGAGTTCTAATCTTACAAATAGAAACTCCTAAATTTGGAAGGATAGACACGATGTACCTGTTTTATTATTCCTTTAGCTACACTAAAACTCTCCTATGAAAGTCAGAAAACTGAGACTCTTTTTAAGAAAAGTCATATTTTGTTCCAAAATGACACTATATTGACAAAAGGGGGTTTCTGAGCATACACATAAGAAGTAGAGACTCCTAAATGTCTAAGAAGACGCATCATTTACTTGTTTTCTTATTCTTTTAGCTACACCAAAACTCTCCTATGAAAATCAGAAAATTGGGACTCTTTTTAAGGAAAGTCATATTCTGATCCAAAATGGCACTATATTGACAAGAGGGAGTTCTAATCTTACAAATAGAAACTCCTAAATGTGGAAGGATAGACACGATGTACCTGTTTTATTATTCCTTTAGCTACACTAAAACTCTCCTATGAAAGTCAGAAAACTGGGACTCTTTTTAAGAAAAGTCATATTTTGATCCAAAATGACACTATATTGACAAAAGGGGATTTTTGAGCATACACATAAGAAGTAGAGACTCCTAAATGTCTAAGAAGACGCATCATTTACTTGTTTTCTTATTCCTTTAGCTACACCAAAACTCTCCTATGAAAATAAAAAAACTGGGACTCTTTTTAAGTAAAGTCATATTCTGATCCAAAATGGCACTATATTGACAAGAGGGAGTTATGATCTTACAAATAAGAAGTAGGCTCTACTAAATGTAGACGGAGATGCATCATTTACTTGTTTACTTATTCCATTAGCTACACCAAAACTCTCCTATGAAATTCAGAAAACTATGACTCTTTTTAAGTAAAGTCATATTCTAATCCAAAATGGCACTATATTGACAAGAGGGGATTTTGATCATACCAATAAGAAGTAGAGACTCCAAAATGTCGAAGGAGACGCATCATTTACTTTCTATCATATTCCTTTAGCTACACCAAAACTCTCCTATGAAAATCAGAAAACTAGAACTCTTTTTAAGTAAAGTCATATTCTGATCCAAAATGGCACTATATCGACAAGAAGGAGTTATGATAATACAAATAAAAAGTAGACACTCCTAAATGTCGAAGGAGACGCATCATTTACTTGTTTTCTTATTCCTTTAGCTACACCAAAACTCTCCTATGAAATTCAGAAAACCAGGATTCTTTTTAAGAAAAGTCATATTCTGATCCAAAATGGCACTATATCGACAAGAGGGAGTTATGATCTTACAAATAAGAAGTAGAGACTACTAAATGTAGACGGAGATGCATTATTTACTTGTTTTCTTATTCCTTTAGCTACACTAAAACTCTCCTATGAAAATCAGAAAAATAGGACTCTTTTTAAAGAAAGTCATATTCTGATCCAAAATGGCACTATATTGACAAGAGGAGTTCTATTCTTACAAATAGAGACTCCTAAATGCGGAAGGAGAGGCATCATTTACTCATTTTATTATTCCTTTAGCTACACCAAAACTCTCCTATGAAAATCAGAAAACCGGGACTCTTTTAAAGAAAAGTCATATTCTGTTCCAAAATGGCACTATATTGAAAAGAGGGAGTTATGATCTTACAAATAAGAAGTAGAGACTACGAAATGTAGACGGAGATGCATCATTTACTTGTTTTCTTATTCCTTAGGTACACCAAAACTCTCCTATGAAAATCAGAAAACTGGGACTCTTTTTAAGAAAAGTCATATTCTGATCCAAAATGACACTATATTGACAAGAAGGAGTTCTGAGCATACAAATAAGAAGTACAGACTCCTAAATGTCGAAGGAGACACATCATTTACTTGTTTTCTTATTCCTTTAGCTACACCAAAACTCTCCTATGAAAATCAGAAAACTGGGACTCTTTAAGAAAAGTCATATTTTGATCCAAAATGGCACTATATTGACAAGAGGGAGTTCTAATCTTACAAATAGAAACTCCTAAATGTGGAAGGATAGACACGATGTACCTGTTTTATTATTCCTTTAGCTACACTAAAACTCTCCTATGAAAGTCAGAAAACTGGGACTCTTTTTAAGAAAAGTCATATTTTGATCCAAAATGACACTATATTGACAAAAGGGGGTTTCTGAGCATACACATAAGAAGTAGAGACTCCTAAATGTCTAAGAAGACGCATCATTTACTTGTTTTCTTATTCCTTTAGCTACACCAAAACTCTCCTATGAAAATCAGAAAACTGGGACTCTTTTTAAGTAAAATCATATTCTGATCCAAAATTGCACTATATTGACAAGAGGGAGTTATGATCTTACAAATAAGAAGTAGGCTCTACTAGATGTAGACGGAGATGCATCATTTACTTGTTTACTTATTCCATTAGCTACACCAAAACTCTCCTATGAAATTCAGAAAACTATGACTCTTTTTAAGTAAAGTCATATTCTAATCCAAAATGGCACTATATTGACAAGAGGGGATTTTGAGCATACCAATAAGAAGTAGAGACTCCAAAATGTCGAAGGAGACGCATCATTTACTTTCTATCATATTCCTTTAGCTACACCAAACTCTCCTATGAAATTCAGAAAACCAGGATTCTTTTTTAGAAAAGTCATATTCTGA